TCATGATGAGATTCAGATGTCATTTCCTAGAATAATAACCTGTTTACAAACAAACATCAAGTTTGACCCCGATCTGATCCTACTTTCTCAAACTGATGTATTGTGGACAGAATATCAGAATACTGTGTTGACTCAAGGACTTAGGTTGACTTAAAGGAATTAATGGACAATTATTCTGATCAATAAGCATCAGCAAAAAAAAAAAATTGAAGCAGAGGCGTCAACTCTACATGCAACTTACACACATTCTACATATTACTTAGTATAGACTACCATTATTTGCAGGCATTATTCTATTTTTAATAAATTCTGATGGAGGCATTCACCCCCTCCCCCCCTCCTAATCCCCTCACACCACATAGCAGGTTTCGCAGTTTTGCTTTGCTGGGATAAAAAAAAAAATAATAAAAATAAAAAAATAAAAAAAAAACAGAAGCACTGGTTAACAACAGGAGTAACCACATCTATTGTTCTTACAGTCACGACTGTCTGATTAATTGCTTTAGGTGTGACAGATAGTCACAATGAGTCTGTCACACCCAAGTTTTGCCTTACCTCCTGTATTAGAAGATTGTGCTTCAGCAGTTTCCTGGCTTTCATGATCCTGACNTAGAACTATGAGACTCCCATTTATAAAATCCTGACTTACAACCTGCCTAGATCAAAGAATCTCTATCATGCCATTAGTTACAAAATAGCCCTTGGTATCCGTTTTTCAGCAGTGTAAACAAACAAACACCGATCCTTTGTGTGCCGATCCCGCCTATTCTCCCTCTGATTATATAATAAGACTGATAGGTGAAATCAAATCCTGACCACTGTCCAAAACAACTGACCATATCAAATGAGATCCATCTCTATCACACCTGCATTTGTTCCTTCTTTTTTTAGAAAAAAATCTCAGTAAAATATCCCAAATATGTTAATAGTAAAGGATATAATGTACTACAATGACATAGAAATATTAAGAAAAATCTAAATAAAATATCCTGAATATGTAGACTGTATAGGGTATAATAATATAACACTTCTGGTGGAAATGAACAAAAGGAAATTGAAAAAAAAAAATGAAATAAAAAATAACAAAGTCAAACAGGTACTTTGTCCTCAGATTAATGCAGTTTACCATCATGACAAGCTTACTTCCTATAAATGAAAAATCCATTCTTCTTTGCAACCATACAGAATCAATGATAGCACAGACATCTACATTTATAATATAAAGATGGGAAAATGAAAAAAAAAAAAAAAAAAAAAAAAAAGGAAATTACCTAAATGTCATTTGTCTGAATTTGAGTACAGGGTTAAAACATCTGTGTCATAACACGTGTTTCAGCATATACACCAGTTTGTATTCCCACCTGAAGCTGTGCTGTTTGACAATCTAATTTATACCCACATATATATCTGTGGCTTCAACTCTCAACGTATATTCCACAATATCTGTTATCAGACAGGAAGTCTTCCACTTTTTTAAAATTTATGGCACTCCTTAAACAGTGTTATACCATATTAGAAAATGTTAGAAATTTTTGTAATAAATTCCCATTTGTACCAAGAGTAAATACTTTACAGGACAATTCTCAAAATCATCGTATTGAGGAATCCCATTCTGAGCAATTAGGTACCCCAGATTATAGGAAAGGGCAAATAAAATACAGAAATGAAAGGAATGTCATCAAAACAACCGTGTGTTTTCTCATAACATCTTCACTCTGTCTCATCCAAACGGCTGACTGCAGTGTATAGATGTCTTACTGGATTATGAAGCTACTGTATAAATTCAGATTTGACTTATATATACCAGATTTCTGATATCTAAATGAGAGTTCTTAGTAAATAAATGGTACTCGCAACACTAATTACAAAGATACATTTAAAAATACTTAAATTACTTATCAAAGCACTATCACAACTTTTTTGCTGTCATTATTTTAATGAAATAACTCATTTCTCCCGCCAAACAGCTTAACCAAAATCTGTGCAGTGATTGACATTTAAGACCTTACCTCAAGTTCCCTTTTATCGACTACCGTACATACAGTGCACCTAAGGGCCTTTTTTCCAGAGGTTCACCAAGGTCGTAAAAAACAGAGCAATATGATGGGAAGACTAATGTAGACTATCAAGTTGCCCCTGTGCAAGTGTAAGCATCAATATCACTGGCTCACACTCGCAGTACTTAATAATTAAAATAAGATTATTGCATCATGTATGTGTATAAAGTGTGTATCATTTGTTAATGTCAACCCAGAATAACCCAGAAGAGTGAAACGTAATATGGCTTGATCGATCAAAAATAATTACTGGTACAAAACAGACAGTAAATATATATATATAGAGAGAGAGAAAAATTGCGTAATTTCATCACTGTCACATGCAATTAGGAAGTAATTATTTTTCATGTAGCCTGATATTTTACATTTTCATTTCAGATCTAGGTGATCAGATGAAAGGGGGGGGGAGGCACTGCAATTATTGACAATATCTCTCATTTAACAAGCTAATAAATTAAGTATGTATTTTAGTGCTGTGGGGTCTAATTCTTAAAAAATCTTTATTATTTTAGAATCAAAATGGTTAACAGGTCAATAAAATCAATTATTTCAATACTGGGTAGTATTGGGATTACAGAGCACATGCTGACAGCCATTTTAATTAGAATATTATACTATACACATGGGACATGACAAAAGATATTTATTTTATGCTCTACAAAGATGTGAATATTTCGAGCTTTTAAGATCACTAACCATGACTTAAAAAATGCTTGATACATTTTCAACATTCATAATTCTTGAAAGATGTTTGAAATGTCTATAGTCTGTCACTGATTCAGCAAACAGCACATTTTGGACAGTACAACACATCTGCTGCATGGCCTTAAGTATGGAAAAATGATATCTATTGTTTATGGAACATCCAGTGTATGGAAAGAAATCTACAAAAGGTATATAAAAAGGAAATCTACAACGGAAATGCACTGCTGAAATCAGAACCAGTGATTCCTTTTCCTCAAGTACAACACACATATAGAGTGGAATAATACTAAGATCCATACTGTAGTATTGATTTCTAGCCATGTGGTACAGACCAGAATATAAATTACTCATCCACGTGGATCACTGTGTGCACAGCACGAATTCTAAGCCCATCAAATCCACATTACCAGCTAATTAAAGAAAAACACCATTTCTAGGCCAAACATAATGGGAGATATTTATCCTTACCTGTTCAAGGTGAAGTAAATGTATGTTTTGAGAAATACGTAGACTGAATGGGAGTTAACCTTCACTCATGATTCCTAGAGATATGACCCAAAATTCTCAGTAAATCACACAAACGTTGCCACAAAATCAAATTCAGCCTCACAAATTTGAACATCATTCTATTCCTACCTGTCTGAGACCAAATTCAGGTACAATTCCAGTTATAAAATGGACAGACTGGAGAAGCAATTCACCATGTGGATAACCTTCACTTGTGATACTCCTCGACCATGTGTTGTGGGAGAATGAATGAAATCAACATATCTGATGTCACAATGATGTCAGCAGATCTGACCAATCAGAGAGCACCTGTGTAGTAATCGCCCACACAAATATGGTCCTATTGATCCCTAGCTTGCTATTACAACATATGGGAGTACTTAGATACAAACCACACCTTTAAAGGGGTTTTTGTTGTTTATTTGATTGTTGTAATAAAAAGGGCCTGTTGTTTATCGCAAAACCTCACCTGTGTTAACAGATTAGAATGCTTTTCACTTTTATCTTCATACTGTTTGACATGATGTGGGAATTTTACAAATATATACACTATATGGGATATAGCTGCATTCTTATACCAAAACTGAATTATTTGTTTCATTTATTTATTTTTGTGCGATCCATCTTGATAAATGATCTGTAATATACATATATATATATGTAGCATTGCATTTTCTTTCCTTGTTGTTCATTCAATGTATTTCTAGGTGTAATATTTGGAATCTTTTATTCCATTTGAAAATCCTCTGAATTCCTTTTAATCTTATTTTGCTTTGAGCCTTCTGAAGTACCTCCATTAAACATCTTCAATAAGGTGCTATGAAGTCATACCTTACAATGTATATGGCATTATATATTTTTGTAAATTTAATCTGGAATTTTTACAGAAGATAACATCAAGCGTGCACACCTAAAATAAATCATCTTTAAAAAATCTTCTCGTTTCAGCCAACTGGATACTACATCTGCTACCTTTTTCTCCAACTTAAGCTGTGATTTACATTATTTCAACACTAACATTATGGGATGCTTTAAAAAAGCAGCCCCAGTACTGTGGTATTGCTAAATTGACTACCTAAACATCTGAAATGGGAGCTTAAATATTTATAAACATTCTTTTTTTAGCAGGAGATTAACAATTTTGCCCAGTCCTGATTAGCAGTCAGTCATCAATATGTTATACTAGTAAGAAAACTATTTGGCCAAAAAAAAAAAAAAAAAAAAAATCAAGTTATTGTTAGACATATTTTTGTGAACATGAATTATGAAAAAAAAAGAAATTAGGTTGAGATCCTTTAGGTTTTGTTTATTATTCAAAGCATATATTGTCAACCTTGCATTATTTACAATAACCCGTTTTTCACCAGTAACTGCTACTGTAATGTACTAGTAGTTCATGTGCATTCTAAATTATATATATATATATATATATATATATATATATATATATATATATATATATTATCCGAGCGTGGCTATTGCATGTCCCAAGTGCTTTAGAATAACAATGCCTCCCTTATTTAGTTTATATCTTTACAGTGACATTCACTTAAAGACACTCGAGTCAATCGGTACAGTAACTCTAGAAATGCCGCCCTTTGTTTACTAACTGATCAAACGTTGTCTTTTATATTTCACCCTTCACAGTAAGAAATATCTGTGCATTTTAACATACTGACTTCTTGGATAATCCATATAACTGTGAGTTTTAAATGAAGGTAGTTTGCTTACCTAGTTTAGGAGAACGTGAGTAAATTTTCTGCTCTCTTTCGGTTTTGGACTGGCGGGAGCTTGATATTTTCGCGCGGTTGACGTCATCGAAGCACCTGACTGCATCGCTAGGAGTCCGTCCAAGACAAGCTTAGAAATGTGTAGACAAAAACAAATTTATCGTTTGCATGGGATAAATTAGTTTATAATCCAACGTATGCGGGGGTCGTCCATTAACTAGCGCGCAAGAGAAAAAGCAGCAGATGTACAGCCGCCCTACTGGCACCAGAGACCGAGAAGATGACACAATACGGGTGAGTACAAGTCCAGCACCAGTTCATGTCAATCAATCTGACTTTCCGGCCAATGGCAACGTTGGCTCATGTCACGTGACATAAACACTGAAGAAGAACCCTAGGCAGAATATTCCCAGTTTCCGTGGAGCCTGCACGTGAAGTTCTCAAAGAAAAGAGACGTAGAATACAAAAGACAAAGTTAAGGTAAGAAATCTTAAAATTTGTTTACAAACAAGTTTATAATTGTTCAAAATCAGGATATCATATATTGGACTGGTGTGCAGTTATTAACGCACCTCTTTTCAACGCTGCGTTTTCCACACCAAGCCCAGGAATGTCATATACACCAGTCCATCCACTTCTGTTAGCACTAACTCGCTACAAACCAGAGTGAATCCAACGATCTAGAAAGCACAAACATACCAACAGCTATGACTCTAAAAAACGTTGCCAACCAGGGTTCCTTTTCTCACGTAATGGTACAGCACACTCTTGCACGGAATAACGGGATATCACAGCTTAAAGTTAATTCCCGCCGACAGACCCAGGCAAACGCCATCATNAAAAAAAAAAAACAATAATAAAAAAAAAAAAAAAAAAAAAAAAAAAAAAAAAAAAAAAAAAAAAAAAAAAAGGTCCTTTTCTTTTTTGGGAAAAAAAAAAAAAAGGGAAAAAAAAAAAAAAAAAAAAAAAAAATTATATTAATAATTGATAAGAATAATTATTATTACTAAGAAATAAATAATTAAACAACAATTATAACTGGAAAATAATTTTCCAGTTGACAAAAAGCCAAGGATACACTACTACAAAAAATTTTCTGTAATTAAAAAAAAAAAAAAAAAATACTTATAAACACAAATTTGAATATACAATATATACAGTACACAATACAAAATAACCATGCCTCGACTTGTGGTATAGGGACCACATTTTCTCTTAATGCACATACTATATTACAGGATATGGAGGCTGAAAAACACCGCGTCCTCATACTGGGCCACAGCTTCATTAAGCGACTGGAGGCCCTTACAACCGACCACTCCTTAGGCCTGGACATAGACACACACTTTCACTCTAAAGGGGGAGCAACAGTCACTGGATACCTCCGGGAACTCAACCAACACACATCTTTCCTCTCTTATTACCTGATCCAATGTCACATCTTGTATGTCCAACTCGGGGAAAACGATGTAAATCTCCAGAATGACCCACAACACATAGTTGATGACATCCTGCGCTTCATCCACAGATGCCAAGCAATAAACCCTAGCCTGAGGATTCTGTGGGGTCAACTTTTTCACAGACGCAGAAACAAGACCGGGCATATCACAACGTTGCAACAAGAAGAACAATTCAATTGCCAAATTGATGTCATCAATGCCACCCTTAAGCACAAGCTTTCAGGATCTGCCCGTTACTGGAAACATATAGGGGCCTCTACCAATGGGCTGCGCATGCTTACCTTTGATGGAACACACCTGAATGAGTGGGGATTGTCCAAATTTTTTCGTTCCGTTAGGGGTGCAATCCTGTATGAATACAAACGTAGGTACAGCTAAACTCAAACTTCAAAGGTTATTAATGCTCTATACACCCCCCTCCCTTAATTTTATATACTTACTGACATAAGCTGGCAGGGCTTTCATCTCTGCTCAGGGAGTCTTACATACTAACTATTCTTCATTTCCAGGTAATGGACCCACCACCAGGAATCCCTTCACTGGTTTCCAACAACACAGGGGGTGTACTCGGGCTCCCCCTAGATCACGCACTGTACACAGCGCAGAACGAAGGCCATACAACCAGGATAGGTCACGACACCCTGGGTGCTCAAGTTACCGTCGCAGCCACACCAGAGAGCATGGGCGCACACAGCACTCCCACAGCTGGCGCCAGTATAACACAGCCCCCCACAACTTTAGGCATCCAAGCCACAGTCGTGGGAAATCAAGCATTTGTTAGAGGCCCTCAGCCAACTTATGTGGTGGGAAACTCGGGTCCCTCCACATCTGCCACACCACAGCAGCCAGTCATGTTTTTCTACGGCCAACCCACCGGATTGGCACCAACTACCGCAACAGGTGAGTCCATGACTACCCACATAGATAGCCATTTGAGTCAGTCAATTCGCCAAAAAATTTGGGACAATGAATATGTGTCCTTCAAGGACCTCATCCCTAGAAATTCCAACACCTTGGGTCTCCAGGATGCTTCAACGGACGAGCAGTTCGTACAGAAGCGCAAACAGGACGCGGAGGGTAACATCCACATGATTCTGGAACCAGTCCAAAAAAAAAGTGCCCCCATCACCTTCCTGCAGTGGCAGGCAGCTTTTACCATCTTCTCAGCTGTATATTTACGAAAGCATACTCACCAAGCTGTACCACTGACACAATATAACAATAGAATTCTGGAAATGTATGCCAATAATACCTCAAATTGGCGTACATACGACGAACGATTCCGCTCCAACTACAATTCATTAGCATACAGCTGGGACAAACCGGACCCTATTCTCTTAGCAGATATTAGTTTCATACAGCGTCCCAAAGGGGAACAGCCCTTTCGCGCTCAGCGAAAGCCATGCTTTCGCTGGAATAATGGCCGATACTGTGACACATCAGCATGCACCTTCACACACTCATGCTCATCCTGCAAAGGGCCACATGCTGCAACAGTCTGCCCTCGCTCCACTCAACAATGGGGGAACTCGGGCCCCCAAACAGCGCCACATCAGTCGTACTCCAACAGGAAACGACCCTTCAAAGCCACCAGAAAATTTTAGACCTTTTTTACAAGACTGGATTCAGGCCAACAAACCATACGTGCAATTTTTAGGTGGCATAGTAACTCCAATACGGCCAGATAACTTGGCTTTATGGCTAACGGGGTTCAACCCGGCGTCAACACAATACCTAGTTGAGGGATTTTCCAATGGCTTTATAATACCTTTTGAGGGCGCATCACTTCCACAAACACTAAAAAATTTGCAATCTGCGGATGACTGGCCTCGCGAACTAGACGAAAAAATCGAGGCAGAATGCAAAGCACAACGTATGGCAGGCCCCTTTACGTCCTCACCACTACCATTCTATTCAATTGCCCCTATAGGGATAGTTCCAAAGAAAACCCCAGGAAAATTTAGGTTTATACATCACCTATCTTACCCAACAAACAGCTCAATCAACGATGGCATTCGGGAAGAATTCTCCACAGTCCAGTACAGTTCAGTAGCTGATGCCATCTCCATCCTGAAACAACTCAAACCAGGCAGCTTTATGGCCAAGACAGACATTCTCAATGCCTTTCGACAGGTGCCCATCCACCCGGATTATCGTTTCCTCCTCGGTATATCACTGAACAATAAGTTGTACTTTGACAAAACACTTCCCATGGGCCTATCTTGCTCTTGTGCCATCTTTGAACAATTTTCGTCAGCAGTGGAGTGGATTGCAAAACACAAACTGAACATTAGAAATATCATCCACCTTTTAGATGATTTCTTCATCGCTGCTGAGACCTTTGACGAATGCCAACACTATCTTAATCATTTCTTAAAAATGTGCGAGAGCATTGGCCTGCCAATATCTAAGGAGAAAACAACTGTGCCGTCCACAACAATGTCATTTGCTGGCATAGAGCTTGATTCTATAAAGCAAGAGGCACGTTTGCCAATGGATAAGGTGAACAAATGTCTGGACACTATTTTAACACACCAGACTAAGAAGAAAATAACATTAAAAGACCTTCAATCAATCATAGGTATCCTAAACTTCTGCTGTATCATTATTCCCGTAGGTCGTGCCTTCCTAAGGCGACTAATTGACTTAACCAAAGGAATAGCCAAACCTACTCATAAAATACGTTTAAACATCCAATCCCGCCAGGATCTCACAATGTGGGCATCTTTCCTGCGTTGTTTTAATGGCAAGGCCTTCATGCACGACGACCAATGGAACGGCCCCTTCCTTTACACAGACGCATCTTCTTCCTTCGGGTATGGAGCAGTTTCTGGCTCCTCATGGCTCTTTGGCCCCTGGGCACCAGAACACAAGAACATGAACATAGCCATTTTGGAACTCTATCCAATCGTCGTAGCTTTCCTGGTCTGGACACCCATCTATGCCAACAAAAAGGTCACCATATTCTCGGACAATGAAGCCTTGGTACCAGTACTCAATAAATGCACATCAAAAGAACCAACTATCCTCAAACTATTGCGAATTTTGATACTCCACTGTTTACAGAATAACATACATTTTAGAGCATCTCACATCCCAGGAGTCAACAACATAGCAGCCGACTCACTCTCTCGTTTTAACTTACAGCGTTTTCGAAGACACCATCCCACGGCCAACCAGAACCCAACCACCATACCCGCACAATGGCTACCTCACAGCTTGCTGCAGAACTGAAGCACACGCTGCATGCAGCACTAGCTCCCAGCACTCATAAAACATACGAAAAGGTGGAAGTGCGACTACAGGAATTCACTTCGGAAACTGGTCTCGTCAGCTTTCCAGCAGACCAACAGGTGACAGCCATGTTTATTCAGTTCTTAACCCGCCGATACAAACCATCAACCATAAAAACTTACACATCGGCTTTGAGTCACAAGTACAAGATGGCAGGTTACTCAGACCCCACTAACTCCTACCTGGTACGACAGGCTTTAAAGGGGATTTCTAAGCTAACACCCACTGGAGACACCAGAAAACCTATCACCCTGCCACTTCTTCAACGTTTGATGTCCATCGCACCCACCATCACAGAGAACGAATATCAGGCGATTATGCTTAAAGCCATGTATGCCACAGCCTTCTTCGGCCTATTACGCATCAGCGAATTTACGTTTGGAGACAAGGGTCAGGACCATACCATTCACCTCAAAAATGTAACTGTAGACCTATCGAAAAGCTTCATCACTATTGTTCTTACGTCATTCAAACATTGCCGAGGGTCTTCTCAATACAGAATAACACTGAACAAACAAACCTTGGATATTTGCCCAGTACATCATCTTCAGGCGTACCTACTGATCCGGCCTCAGGTGACCAACCCTCACCTTTTCGTCAATGAACGAGGACTTACCATCACTAGATCGCAATTTGGATACCTTCTCCGCAACAGCCTTAAGGCTTTAGGCATTACGTCATCTGACATCAAGAGCCACAGTTTCCGCATAGGAGGTGCAACACTTGCCGCGCAATCAGGCATGTCAACTCAGCAAATACAAATGTTAGGACGTTGGCGCTCAGATGCCTTTAAGACTTACCTACGTCCATAAATAAATGTCAATCTAGTCAAAATAGAACAAACACTGGACTTCAAGCTCTGCTTGTTAAGTTAAAAGAACGGGGCTGGTATACGGACCAGACCTGAAATATGAGTAAGGAACAATTAATTACTGTTCAGGAGCACGCATTTGTGTATATACATACCAAAAAGCAGCAAGCTACAAGACGTGAAGACATTCTTCACTATTATATAACATTTATTTACATAGGTCTACATTAATTACAACAGTCATTTTTTAGGTAGCAGGCAGTTAGCAAAACAATAAATTTCTTTTTAACATACTATGTCTCCTTCAGAATAATTTGGGTGGGGAAGAAAACCCAGGCTTTTAAAGCCTAGCTTTTCCATGGCGCTTTACTTTCCCCACCTTTAATGATTATGCGTTTTCACACCATCTAAACCTCAGCTAGAATAAGACGACTCCCGTTTACGCCATAACATTTTTGCATAATCATCAAAACTAGCAAATTATTATTTAGTCGCTTCTGCAGATTATAAAAACAAATTTATCGTTTGCATGGGATAAATTAGTTTATAATCCAACGTATGCGGGGGTCGTCCATTAACTAGCGCGCAAGAGAAAAAGCAGCAGATGTACAGCCGCCCTACTGGCACCAGAGACCGAGAAGATGACACAATACGGGTGAGTACAAGTCCAGCACCAGTTCATGTCAATCAATCTGACTTTCCGGCCAATGGCAACGTTGGCTCATGTCACGTGACATAAACACTGAAGAAGAACCCTAGGCAGAATATTCCCAGTTTCCGTGGAGCCTGCACGTGAAGTTCTCAAAGAAAAGAGACGTAGAATACAAAAGACAAAGTTAAGGTAAGAAATCTTAAAATTTGTTTCCTCCTCCCTCCCCTCAACTACAAGTGATATATATAACATCTATCCCGCTCAGACGCTTTACGGCGCGGTGCGGCGCTTTACTTTCCCCACCTTTAATGATTATGCGTTTTCACACCATCTAAACCTCAGCTAGAATAAGACGACTCCCGTTTACGCCATAACATTTTTGCATAATCATCAAAACTAGCAAATTATTATTTAGTCGCTTCTGCAGATTATAAATAACGTTACGTTTAGTTCATAGAAGTAGNCAAAAACACCTCATCTGACCATTTTAATGCAGTTTACATGCCAGTTTATAAAATGGTAACTGTAATTTGCTACACAATACAATTTTACATATATATATATATATATAATATATATATATATATATACTTTTCAGTACTTTTCCATGAAAAATAAATAAGGTAGAAAAAATGATAAAAGGAAACGTAAAATATTTCTTTAGTTGTTTATAAATAAACTGTTACCAAAATTATAGGTGAATCATCTTTAGTTGTTTATAAATAAACTGTTACCAAAATTATAGGTGAATCATGTAAAAGTTGGGGTATATGTTAAAAAACATTTTCTTCTGCCTAAGTATTGAGCCTTCAGTACTGCCCAGAGTATTTCAAACGCATGGTATATTATTAAAACTGATTACAGTCACTGTGATGATTCATTGAGGTAAAATGAAATCAAAATGTTATTTCTAAAAATAGTGAAAGTCATAATTAAATGTATTTTTTATACCATGACTGGCACTTCAAACGAGGATAATTGCACTGGTATTTCGCATACAGGCTTGCCTGTGTTTGCATACGCTTCTGTGCACTTATCCTATTGTTTTAAAGCACCAGCTGTGGTATAAGTTGGTTACAACAGAATTACTCCTCATCCACTGTATGCCACATACAAAAGCAAATAATATATATATGCTGCACCTTGATATAATTAGGCCTTTATATGTGGCATACAGTGGATGACTCGTGTTGTAATTAGGACTAATTGTTAGTCCCATTTTCCAGTTGTTCTGGTTCTAATAAAAGTCTACTGCACGCTTTTGGTGTCTGCTTTTCAAGATTGTATAATCTGTCATCTTTAACAATTTCGTTCCCATGGTCCTGAATAACTCAATCAACTTCCAGTAAAGGTCGTCAAACACCAAGTACTTTCCATCTCAACGTACTTAAAAGTACAACCAATATTTTGTCAGTAAGATGCTTTCTTTACTCCAGCATTTGCAGCATCCACTGATGGAAAAATGCCACTATAGCTTGAATTGCCTTGAAAATTGGACACTAGGCATTGAAATGGACTGAGAATGACACCTTTGCAGCCCAGTGTAGGAACTCTTCACTTTTGTGAGACCTGAAGACATACCATCCCATAATATTTCTTCAAAGCTGCAAACACTGTCTGTGATGTTGCTTAGCATTTGATTGGTCCAATCAACTCCAAAGAGCAGCATACAATGAATGTAACACGTAACAGTGTGATGCATTCTTCAGGAAATGATTAACCATCAAAGTCACAGGAACACATCGTCTGACGCTGTCACAAGATGTCCAGCCATTACCTCCTTAGAACCTGTTTCTTAAACCTCTCAAAATGGAAGTCATCTGTGGCTTTTTCATCTCCAGATTTTTTCTTTCCGGATTTGTCTGAAAATGATAAACAACATGACAGAAATGAATAGTTTCACACACACTGCATTGACAATTGAGTCTAATTAAACATAATGGTGATAAAAAGTGTCATATGCAAAATATCAAACTGAATGTTTAATTCTATGCAAAAATATACAAAAAAAAAAAATAATAACAGCAGAATATATCACAAAATAAAATCTGTGCAAGAGGGGTGGAGTAGAGGTGAAGGGGGAGACTGAATTTGGGTGCCCTTACCTGAAGCAGTGTCTTCAGAGTTATAATCCCCAACTCTAACAGGTTTAGGTTTGGGGGCCTCCTCCTTGACTGCCTTTTGTGCTGGTTTGTTTTCCTCAAATGTGACTGGAAAATATTCACCAAAAACTTGTAGATACTCCATTAAGATATACTGATATCATAATGTGAGGTAAATAAAAAGGTGAGGGGAGCAATTTGATATACTACTGTTTAATGTAAAATCTCCATGTAGGGTTGCTTTCAGCTTGCATTTGTATAATCTATGAATATTAGACTTGCTCAAAACTTGTATGTTACATAGTACTTTTTATTCATCAATTCAGCCTGACTTACATCTCTTGTGCTGTACAAAATTCACTGCATAATTTGTTGGTACAAATTCCGAGACATTGTCTTTCTTGTTCATTCTTTCTCTCAGTAGCTGTGCTTTTGCTTCCTCTGTGGCTTCTATATTTTTTATTTTAGCCCTAAGAAAAAAAAAAGACATTTAATTACTCTCTAGTATAATGGCAAAACATCTGGATTCAAATTGTCTTCTTGCCACATGCCATGCCCCGAGAACAAAGAAATCAGAATCACAACAAAATATTCTGACACTACTCTAGCTGCAATTCATATATAGAATGATCACATTCAAACATAATTAACACTGCATAAGCTGTGAAATTATAAGAATTAAAATCATGTCAAAAAGACTGATATATCAATTCATTACTCAATTAATGTATTCCTTTATCTATTAACTATTTAAAATCATGCCATAAAATCTGATATATAAACCCATCATTCAATTTATCACTCAACTTGTTCATTTCTCTATCAGCTATTACTTACTCTATTCCCAAGTCCACCTCAGGAATTCCAGACAGCATCTGATTGGACAACATATCTTCGTTTTTACTCCATAATCCAACGCGGAGGTGCTCAGGTACATCATACAGTGCATCCATTGGATTCTGGCTGAATTAGAGCATCCCAACATTAAATGAATAAAATCATATACTTTTATTTGCTTGAAGAAACCCCTTAGTCTGATAATAAATTCAATGTAACGTACGTAGTACTGTGTACAATAACACTTGTGCAAAGTGGATAAGGAGATATCCTGATAAAACTGATAAGGTTGAAAATTGAGAAAATGTACAGAAACAGTCTGTGATATGATAAAATAACAAAATACAATAATATGCATTTATTTCATTTGTTAAGTTTTGTCAATGGTGATGTAAAAATACACTTCTACATTATTTGATTTTTTTTTATTTTGAGGGTTTCTCATTTAAAAATCCACTAATCCAATCATTAAGTAAGACTGCATGACTATGAAATCTTGTTATAAACAGCATGGCTGTAACATTGTTAGTGAGAATCTGTAAAATTGAAGTTTTTTCTTTTTTCCTTTGTAAAAAGATAAAACAAGTATGTTGTTTTTATACACTAATATGATAAAAATATTTTGACAACAAAATTATTTTATTTAAAGGCTAGGATGGCATAATTTTTTTTTAAATCTCGAAATGTGATATTAACTTATCTGGCAAACTGATGGATGTTTTTCCTGATAGGGTTTTTATAAATGTATGTAATATATGAATACAAGGTTTTTAGAAAATTTACCAACCTTGCTTTTCTCTCCTGTGGTTCATCTTTACCAACACCTTTCCTCTTCATCAACTCTTCTTCGACATACTTCAACCTAAAAAGATTTTATAAGAATTTAGCTGATTGTGAAATATATAAAAAAAAATTAACCAACATTAACCAAATTCCTGTTTAAAGTAAATGAAAGAATATCTTCCTTACACAATTAATTTTTTTCACAGAGCATACTTTCGGACAGTTTAATAAGAATGTGAAAATGATTTCATTGGATCTTGACATGAAACTATAAAAATTAATGTGGTGAAACAGGTCTTTCGTTATCTCTTGTACAATGACGAAAAAGGGTACTGTAGACTGTTTTAAAGAGCTAGGTTGGTTAACTCTTGATGTGTTAGCTAAATGTTCTCAAATAAATGTAATTTTCCAGACTCACATGTCAGCATCCTCATCTCTTCTGTTAGTTTCAGCAGCAAAAGCTGTGCCTATAGATTCTATCTCTTCTGTTGTGGGCCTCCTGTGTAAATATTAGAAAAATATGAAGTAATGCCATAAAATAGAAATCAAGATCATATCTCACCACAGGCACAATAAGTGACAAGAAATTAATCAGTTATATTTTATTCAGAAATACATGGAATTGCTGAGATTTCTTTTGAAAATATATTATTTTTGACAAACAATTTTAAAACCAAACTGATTATATATTGCCATGGCAATACTCTTTTAACTATAAAGTGAACTTTAGAACTGTAGACTTAAGCAATGTTCAAAAAGTTCATATTAAATTCTTCCTTTAACTATACAGTGAACTTTAGAACTGTAGGCTTAAGCAGTGTTCAAAAAGTTCATGTTGAATTCTATCTTTAACATACCCTTGATTATTTTGTGAAAATTAGTATTCAAATATTCATAGATCTGTATTTAAGGAATTTATCAAGTGGAACCTTCAAGAGCATACCTGGCTTTTATAGCCTTCATGTCCATCATCCCGCCTGTCTGCAGATTGAATGGGTCATTCTGAAGAGAATTTGAATATGATCATAGTATTTTGTTTTTATGCAATGAAAAACAGGTGCAAAAATGTATGCAACATGCCATATTATCAGCTCAATATTTTTCTTTTTGGAAAACACTTTTATTTGATGACACACACAACCACACACACACATATACACAATCATAAAGACATGTACACACACACAAACATAAATACGTACACACACACACACATCCACACATAAACATAAAGACACACACAGACATCCACACACACACACATCCACACATAAACATAAAGACACACACAGACATCCACACACACACACATACACACAGTCATACCCACATGCAAGGACATTCATATCTTCTAACAGCCAGAGTAATATAGTCTTACATTGGAGACTGTGTCCACCACCTTGGGGACCTTCTTCCCCAGGTTCAGTGAAGTGACACTAACACCATGCTGCTTTTTACGCAGATTCTGGAGAAGTTTCACATCATTTACATTGGAGCTGATAAAAGAATCAGAAAACAGATTATTAAGTTTGACCAATGGAAATATACATGAACCGCCACTCTGAATAAACTGTTAAAACAATAGATGAATAAATTAATTTGTAATAAATCAACTGATTGTCAGACATTGAAAAATACTGAAAATTAACTATTTACATTTGTACTAAGGGTATTCAAAATTATTATCGAGAGATCAACTGGCATATTCTGCATTAAAATAGTTGTCTTACGATTATTTGACCTTTAACTTCTCCGTGAAACATATTTGATTGTGCCCAATCCAACCCAATCCTTTCCCAATCCTGTCCCCAAATTAAATGCCTTGACTTTCGTACAACGTTTTACTGTAAATTGATAAAGAAACACCCATAATGTTATTACGGTTGCTACACACCTTGGTTCTTCTTCTTTTTCAGAGTCATCCTCACTCTCACTGGATGCCTTTCTTTTCCTAAATTGTTTTCTTTTCTTCGTTTTGAAAGTCGCTGCATTTTCTTCCATTTTGCGACCTTGATAACCTTGCTGATATTCAGGGTGTCTTTTAAATATAATCTTTCGTTTCGAATTAATGAAATAGAAATATTGCTAAACAAAGAATAGCATTTGAGATAATAATGCAGATTTTATTGTAATAAATATAATTAGTGTATTTAAAGTATGTTAAAAAAATTAATGTATTTCCCGTGATCACCAAAATAAGTACATACTTTATAAACAACTAAACTAAATATCAACACACAACTCAGAGTAGCAATCCTAACACACACTCTATCCGCTTGTACAGTGCAGTATTTCACAGGACGTATACTATGGATGAAGAAAGCCTGAAGGCTTCAATTGAAACATACAAAATGCAGGTAGCTGATTACACATACTGTCTGACAAACCTCACTCCAACAGTAATAACCAATGGACACTTTTGCAGTATCCCCCACCCGAACTTAGATTTTCAACGTTTTTCCAAGTAAATTTATGTAGTGACTGTGGGTAATGTCTCTGATATTCAAATAAATTATTTCAAAAATTACCCCCTAATTTTCAGTGTGTTACAAAACGCTTCAAGTCCATTTCAATATCAAGAAGGCTGAGGTCATGGCAGGGTTGAAAATTTGCTGTAATCTCATTAGACAGCTGACAGGAAAATATTTGCCAAAAAAAAAAAAAAGAGTTACCACATTTCCTTAATAATTTATTTGAATAGCAGAGACACTGATCAAAGTCATTACATACACTGCAACTTAGCTAGAAATTTGTGTGTTAGCAGTCCTGTTTATTTACCTTTAATTTCTGATATGTAGAGTTGCACACTGTGCTAATGCATGAAAGCAACTTAAGGTCTCAAAAACTATAAAATGTTTGCATGTCCATGGTGATGTGGGAACTCTCAAATTCCATGCTAGCCATACCTGAAAAAAATTGAAAATCTAAGACTTAGTCACTAGGCGATGGTGGTGGATACTGCAAAAGTCCCAAACTTTTTAGAAATAGCTTCTAATGTCATACTGTTAATGTCGTTGTCAGTGTTCATGGTATCAATATATACAGACAAATTTATCATGATTTATTTATTTATTTTTTAAATTTATTTTTGAATCTTTTGTCTTTTTTATCACTGCAGCTGTCTCAAGTTGAATGTGCCCTCCTTGCTGCAGGAGCTGATGGCAGCCCTGATCTTGTTCAACTGAAGTCGGATCTCACAGAGCTCATTCAACTCACAGAAGGTATTTGTCAACAATTTTGTCATATCTCACCTGTTTCATAACATTAGTTGTCAAATTGTACATTTGTTGAATATGATGTTTTTAGCATTATGAATTGTGCTTCTGATTTGAAAATAAGAAAATTTCAGGATTTAGAATAAATACAATGGTTGGAAGATGACAGTGTGTTATGTTTATTTATTTTGAAAATGGGCATGAAATAGCATTGAAAATGAAAGTCTATTGGCATGATTGATTTGGCAAAAAAAAAAAAGAATGTTATTATAGCTTGAATTGAGACATGCACATAATTATCACTGAGATCTTTATTATTATTATTATTTATTTATAGCTAGTTTACTGTCCTTGAAGAAGAGCCAGTTGCTCAGCATGGTGGAAGAAACAACTAGTAGCAGTATAAACGAAGAAACGGACACTTCAAATTCACAAGAACCAGGACAGACAGACTTTGATGCTGAATTTGCTGCATTTCAGGTAACTTGAAGTGGCAGGTTTTAAGGTGGTATTCACTGCAAATTTGCCACATTTTGATTGCTTTATAAATTAATATTTTAATAATGAGAGGCAGCTTCATCCCATACAGAAATAATTTTCAGAATTTGAAATATCGCTATTTGTTTTGAGTGTAGATGGACACAGCAAAATATTTGTTTAATCGATATGATATAAAATTTAGGTTAGTATTTTCCTGTTTCATTAGAATTACATTCAAAATTTAATGCATCTTCATGAAAGATAATGTTTTCGTTTAAACTGACAGTTCAGTATTTCTGAAACCTTTTATTGGCAAATTCATAAACGTTTATTCATGCAGCTAAATTTATCACTTATTTTAGGCTGCTGTATCAGACACCAGATCAGAAAATATTCCCAACATAGACCAAGCATCTTGTTCTGAGAACAGCACATCAGTTTATGCTGAAAATCAAAGTGTTCAGAGTCAAGACATTGCAAGCTGCAGTCAATATCATGAAGATCATGAGCAATTCCATAGCGACCTGACAGACCAACTCAATTCTGAACTCAGTGGTATGAAGTGCCGGGCACCGTATGCATTTGACTGGGGAGGAATGGAATATCACAATGCTATGGTGGTTTGTGTGGAACCTCTTGATGGAGAGGATGAACCTAAAGTGAGTATGGTTTGAAGTTCCATGGCTGTTTATTTTTGTCTAGAGATGAGTGTAAAATTGTTACCAGAGTGGGTAATTAGGCTTAGGGAACTCTAAGCTAATGGTCTTCTAAATTAGTTTAGAACCCATACTGACTATTTTTACAATAATTAAAAAGAATGCCATGTTAGAAATTTCTAACCATCTTCTCAGATGAGCAATAAATATAATCTTTTTGAAGCATAATTTTGTTCCTGTACCATATGGATGTTTTCAATGCTAGTAAGTATTTTTGATTGCCAAGGACAATAACATTTTGTTGAATGTTTTTCTGTCAAACCAGAAATGTTAACCACATTAATTTTTGGTCTGTTCCAGGTGAGAGTCCTATACTGTAACCCTACACATCAGTCCATGCTACCTTGTCGTTATTTCCTGGATGGAGACTGCAGGTTTTCTGAGGATGACTGCCGTTACTCACATGGCTCTGTTGTCAGTGTCAGTGATCTCCGTGAATTTAAAGAGCCTGATTATAGGTAGAATATCTTTATTAAAAATGATTTTATATATTGCATGACATATTTCTTGGAGATTTTCCATTAAAAGATGTAAAAGAGTTCATTTTCTGCCTGTAACTAGAAGACTGAAAATTATATATATATATATATATATATATATATATATATATATATATATATAATAGGTGGAATATATATTTATAGCAGTAGAGAACAGTTAATTTTTGTAATGACATTTATCATAAAACCTTAGTCACATGAATTCTAAAGCCCAACAATAAATGGTACTATGTAAGATAATATTAAGGATGAAAGGGAATTTTGAACATAAGACCTCTAATATTTTTCTCACATTTTGTTCACCAGATGTAATGACTTATATTTTTACTTCTTTCTTTCTTTCTTAATTTTTCAGTCTCCTCAAGGAGGGCTCTGTTTGCCTGGCAAAATACTCTGATAACATATGGTACAGGGCTGTGGTTTTATCATGTAAAGAAGATCACAAGTATGCAATTAAATTCAAATCCTATAACGAAGAAGATGTAGTGGACCTGGAGGATTTAATACCTTTAGGTAATGCCAATATGTAGTTACATCTCATTGTATATGTAGAGTAGTTTGTTAGTCAGATTTTTTGGACAGAACTTTTTATTCTTTGTTTATTTTCTAACCTTGAGCTGCAAAACGTAATTGGTTGTCACCCTTTGTGTGTAATTTATAATTAAAAAACTGCATTAGATACTTGTTCAATTATTACTAAATTTAAATTATGATTTTGTTTTCCTTATGTGATTCAGTGTAAAATAAGCACCGTTTCTGCATACATGTTCACAGCATGTAAATGATTGTATATGTGTGTGTTTGGTATGGGGGATATGTATATGCTTGTGGGTACACATCATTCACATGAATCATACTATTAGTTTTTGGCATAGAAATTCATTCCTTTTCTCTTTATTACATACAGATAATTCTGATGATCCCTGTGACAGTGATTCTGACTCAGACAGTATACAGCCCCTGAAACCTCTTAATGATGAAAACAGTGATGAAGAAGAAGCTGTCCCCGTGTTTCTGTGGAAACCACCCCAAACTACACAGGCCATGGGAGAGTGGGAGGCCTATACAAAGGTTGATTTACCTTTTATGACATAGGCAAACGTTGTTATCAGGATATTTGACTGTCTGTGAAATATCATTATAATAATTATACATTAATGTATTAAGGAAAAGACTTGTATTCACAACATATTATACTGCACACAACCTGTTTGAAATAGAGATATTTTCTGACAGTCTTCCCAATTGTCTTTTTCGATCAGTCCTCAATTTTTGAATGTCTTCCGGCAGAAAACTTAGATGCCCATCAATGTAAATTTGAAAAATTCTTAGCCCATCAATGTAAATTTGAAAAATTCTTAGCGTCTTTTAGAAGACCTAGAAGATAGCCTCAATCCGCCCCTGTGTACAGTTAATACTTGCCCGTTACAACACGTCAAATCAGACTGCAATCATCTTATTAATAAATGATGGAAGTTATTATTATGTGGATTGTGATAACTTTTTGTCAGTCTGCTCTTCAAATGTCCAACCCAGTAAGCGTTTAGAATGGTGGGACTGAGAAAACTTCTAGTCTGAATAAAAATTAAGTCAGAAGGTGAAATCTACAGATAATGGGGACATTTTTTTCTTTCACATGACTTGGACTACTCTTGTAACTAGTGCAACACCTATTACAGGTGACCACCATTTTAATGCAGATGATATTTTGCTATTGTCTCAAGGTGCACACTGATTTGTTAACTCTGTTCCCATTGAAATCTCAGGGTATAGGATCCAAACTGATGTTGAAGATGGGGTATGTTATGGGGGAAGGTTTGGGGAAGAATGGAGAAGGACGAGCAGAACCTGTTCCCATAAAACTGCTTCCTCCAGGTAAGTCTACTGGCTTTTCAGTACAGCAGAGTCTAAGAATGTACTGTTCCACAGAAGAAATTATAGTGGTCAGTACCTGAGTAAATTCACACAGCTTTACTGGTGCAGCTTCAGTGTTCTGGCATTTAGCATGGGGTCAGTGTTAACATTGCAGACCATTTATGTTTTTTTTTTTTTTTTTTTTTTTTTTTTTTTTTTTGTTCAAGCAGCATATAAAACTTGCATCTTAAAAACTGAACCCATGATAAATTCTCAAAATGAAAAAAAATTAATAAATTAATTAAACAAATGTCAATTTTGAGTACATATTTTAAAAAGAAGGTCAGTGAAGTGACAATCTCAAGATAAAGGATTGACACGTATAAGGAATGTGCATTTTACTGTAATACATGGATTAAATTTCATGTAGTGCACTTAACATATATATATATATATATAGATATATATATATATATATATTGTTCAATATATTGTTCAATATATTTTGTAGGAAAGTCTTTAGACAAGATAATGGAACTGCAAGAGAAAGCAGGAGACCAAAGTTTATTTGATGTCATGAAGAAAGAAAGAAAGAAACAAAAGAAAATTGAAGAGAAGTTAAAAACGGATTACAAAAAAGAGGCAGCACCTAATGTATTTGATTTTATCAACAAGAAGTTAGGAGGAAAGAAAGGTAGTTTTCTTTAAGGAATGCTTAAAATATTGATATTTTAAAATTAACATTAAGTATGATTTTTACAGTCATCTATGATTTGATTTCCAGTGGTCAGTAAAATTTAAGACAATGTTGAAAACTTACTTGATATATGTGCTATTATACTATTATCCATTTTTATTATTCCTATGTAGCTACATAATTTTATTTATATAGAAAATGTCTGGAATTGCAAAATATGGAGAATATGAATTATTTTTTTAAAGACATAATAAGAAAGTGGACTATGTTGAGAAGTCCCATTTTTTCAAAAATAAAAAAAAGTAGTGGAAGTTGCATTACCAACAGACACTATAGTTACATTGTATATTTGGTGTTTTGTCTCACCGTTGTGTGACTATGACATTATAGGCGATATTCACTCCCTGCTGCCATCACAGAGACACGGATCCAGAACATCTAAGGACTCCTCGAAGAAGACACACATCAATGAGAAAGACCTCCACCAAAAGAGCGACCAGGGGATGCGAGTTCAGCAGTTCAAGACTGACGAGGAGATACGCAGTGTGGAAAGACAGCTGAGCAAACTCAGGGATTCGCATGCAAGAAATGCTGGAAAGTAAGTTCATGCTTCTATCTTGACATCATCACCATATAAGGTATGGCAGGTATTCTAATAGGATATATCTCAAGAACCACTAACAGGTTTTTAAATAATCTTCTAGCATTCTCATATTCCTTCTCAGTGCTTGAAAGGCGTTTTTACTTCCATGAACAGCAGAATGTTTTTTGTTTTGATTATTTTTCATTTCTAGACATGTTGGGTCACGTGAATGCTTTGTATTTTAACTGAAAAGATAAGTAGCTTTATTTATAACTGAATACTCTGTGTTGTTTTTTCAAATGATCAAAAATGTACTTTCAGAGAGAAAAAAGTGGCAGACCAAATCCAACAAAAGATCTCAACAATGGAAAGTTATCTATCCAAACTGAAGTCTTCTGCCAAAACTCTGTCCACCCACCAAAAGAGGAGACATGACCATAAGAAACTGACCATATTTTGACAAGGGGACTCTTTATAGACATGTTATAAATGACAGTTATGTCATTTTATGATCAGTAGTTCATTAATTTGGACAATTAAGAAGTTGAAAAGGAATGTCGTTTATAAAGGAAATAGTTCAATTTTTTTCAGAACAGTGGTTTTATTGCATTTTGAATTCAGTAACCAGTTAAAGAAATTACCTACGTTCTGTGCTGTAGTTACAAAAACTGCTAATAAAGTACATTAATATATTTAAAAAAACTTATGTAATATGATTTATTTAATTTAATAACTTAATTTTTACAGATTTTGCTTGCACACTTTAACGAGTCCTTTATGTGATTATGGAATGAATATTATTGTTGATTGTGCCATGAAACAGTGACTAAATTACATCTTACCGTTATCCATAGGGTTGCATATTATATTTGACACTTTTATTTCTAATATTGAACACGGGAATTGCATCCCATGCAAGAACGAACTAGAGTAGGCAGGTAGTCCTTATATTCTGTTTCATTTTACACACAGTACACACAATGATGTGTGCACGGAGTAACTACACGTCTTTGCTTACTTCTTCCAAATTTGATCATAAAACCTGGTCCGGCCAGGTATATTGAATTTGTACTGAGATATTGAATGTCCTAATTTTAAAGTGTGGGGCGCAGCTTAAAATGGGCGTTTTTTATGGTAAAATTTTTTTTAAATGGGAGTCATGTCTTAATACTTCTTTAAACCCCGTTGGGTTATGTTTCTGTAGGCGCTATGTTTCCCGAAGATATGCCACTGTATATACATGTAGGGATTTTACAGTATGACCAGTAGGCTTAAAGTTTGGAGAAAAAACATGAATCACTTTTTGTTTACCAGCAGTGTCTAGTCTAGTGGGCAGGAAATGTCTGTTGTCATCACAAAGTGATTATGATATGCGTGGAAGCCTTTTATTTTCGTAACATTTGAAATTTATAGGCCCATTTGTTGAACGAAATGGAAATAAGAAAACAACCTGCACGACTGAAGACCTTTGTAGAATAAATTACTCGTTATGTTGTATGTGTTGGTCGTAAAAGGACTTTAAGAAATAAATGCGTAGTCGAAGAAACGCTTTTCACACTGATACAAACTACTGCGTCCAAACGTGCTTGCTAGAACATAGAGAACAAGGTATAGAAAAAGCAAGGAGGGATAGAACTGAATGGGACCTGACCATATGGCATCATGCTTACATTACTCTGGTAGGAGTTCGCACAATAAATCCTACACAGTGTAAGTCAGATTTATACTCGTAATAGGACCCATACTGGGCTCTCTGGTTGACTACAACCATAACCCCAATGTTTGTCTTTTTATTCGCATCTTTTTCAAAACCTTAAGTTCTCTGCTTACCATCATATTTTTCAAAACTAAGTTTTGTGCTTGTAATCTTTAAACTGGTGAACTTTCTATGACATTGCAAGCATGAAAAATTTGAATTTTGAAAAACATCCTCGGGTGTGCGAGTAGAAAACAAAACTTCAAAGCCTTTAAGTATTAATATTTCAAGTTTAACGTTGGCATGTTAAAGGCCATGGTCTCATACGGCAGAACCTGCAGAAAATGGCTACTTATAAATTAATTGCATATGTTTGTGAAGAAAACATCTACTTATTGGGGCCTCTCACAGAGTAGACTACCATATTTTGATCCACAGAATGTCTATTTCACTAGAGGCATATCCGTGTCATTTAACAGAATAGTCAACTATCCAGCTAACACATAGGCCTTACGTTTTGAAAGGACTCATAAGTATACTTCAAATATTATTTCTAATTTTCTCAACACGGCTGACAATTGAAAAAAATATTATCTATCTTATACACCCAGAATATGAATTTTTGCCAAAAATCAACTATTGCCATTATCAAAACGTGGTTAACGGTGACATTAGAATCTATGCACTTTTTATGTACAGACACAGATGTGTCTGTACATATAGCCATCATCTGCGTCTGTCGTCGTCGCCGTCGTCGCCGTCGGTGCCGTCGTCGCCGTCGTCGCCGTCGTGCACTTTTACCGATAACACGATAAGTGGAAAACTGTTTTTCCTTTTGGCTTGAAACTTTCAGAACTGATGAATATTCATAATACGCAGGTCAAGTTCGAAAATCAGCATGATCGGGCCATTTTTAGGGAAGTTATACTGTTTTTTCACTTTTTTCAGCATATATGCAGCACCGATAACACGATAAGTGGAAAACCATTTTACTTTTTTGATTGAAACTTACAAAACTGATGAATATTCATAATACGCAGGTCAAGTTCGAAAATCAGCATGATCGGGTCATTTTTAGGGAAGTTACGCTGTTTTTTCACTTTTTTCAACATATATGCAACACTGATAACACAATATAAGAAAAACAGATAGGCCAATTGTCATTAAACTCACAGGAGTGGTCAATCCTGCTAAAACGCAGGTTGAGTTTAAAAAATCAGCATAATTGGGCCATTATTTTAGAAGTTATGTTGTTTTTTCACATTTCCTCAGATTCAATTCTTAGGCATGTTAACAGTTTCATTATTTAATTAATAAGATATTAAAAGTGTTTGTTTGACATTTCCTGCATCTTTACAACATTGTTAGTTGATTTTGTAAAAATGATGGTTATTTTGTTATCATGTATTGTGTAATAACGTTTCAAAAATGGAAATAAACTCATATCATTGCAGTTTGTCAGATTCAATCATTCACTATGTTCAGAATCTCAGAATGGAGGAAATTGGACATTTAACACTGTTCTATTGATATTTTTCCCATCTCATCAATTTTCTTAGTTGGTCATATAAAAATGGCAGTAAAATGTTTATTTTGTTTTATGTTAAAAAAGTGTTAAAAATGGAAAGAAACCCATTTCAGAACAGTGCTGTCTTGTTTACATTTTGGCAT